TTGTAGATAAAAAGGATAGCAATGGTTCTACGACACCCTCTATGTACGTGCAAGTATACATAATGAATGTTCAAATGCAAACGTAACAGTCGACCGATATCCGATATCGCCAATGAAACCTCCATTTTATGACTCCGCGGAGTCGATATAGCGCTATTATGCGACGTCTTTCTTTTCTCGGACAATAATAATTCGCGTCCGAGTCGAGATTACGACGACGGTGCGCGTTTATTTCAATAACGAAGCGCGATAAACGTTTGCCCCATGACTCGCAGTTCAGATTAATTATAGACGGAGAAGCAAGTTATCGGACGGACTAGTCATCGAAAAAAACAGAGAATACATCGCTAAATGGCTCAAACCGCGTTTAAAATGGCAGAATTATTAATACTACACTCTAAACTGGTTATAAAAATTTTTATTTTAAATTTGCAGATTTTCTACCATAAAATATAAACACAATTCAAAATTAATCTTTCTCCATTACTTAATTCTATATTGATCTGCATGGAGAGTCTGCAACTTAGAGCTCAGAATATTATAACTGTCAGTTGATGTAAAGGATTTTCAGACATTATTAAAATATTAATAAATGGATTTTAGTTCTCGTAAATAAGCAAATTAGATTACTAATTCAGTCAGACATATATTGCACGATGAAATAATTAAAAAGCTGGCTGAATTTCTGGATTACGGCGGATCGCCGTTGATAATTTAGAAAAGTTGTTCAATAATTTCAGTGCATAAATAGCAAATATCTCGAGTAGTTTCGCAATATTAATTGGACATTAATTTTGTGACGCAAGAAACGTTCGTTCGAAGCATTTACGATATTGCAACGATCGTGTTTCATCACAGCGATGTTTTTCGTCTACGACAATGTTGTGATGATCCAATTAGAAGCGACGTGTGTAACTCGATCGACTGATCAACAATAATTACGAATGACTACAGGACAGATCTTTATCTCTTGTCCCAAGTAGCCAGACTGCAAACGCATATCCCTCGAAGTAAACCATAAATTCGAACCGCACCCCTTCTGCCAGTTGTCTCCTTCCTCTTCAGCCCCATTACCCGTGACTCACATTACGGGGGTGGTTCGCCCCCGACTTGGCTGGCGATGTGCCCAACGCAGTCGTCGTCTTCTTATCATCAAGGTTGCGCGAGGAATATGAAACTTTGTAACAGCGATGCGCGACGTAACTTTGTAAATTGAATAAAAGAACGTGAATATTTTCTCTTTGTAAGATATATATACATCAGTAAATTAAAATTTATTTAAATATTTAGCTCAATGTGTCAAATATTTATAAAAAAAGATTTATAATTTTTTACGTGATAGCTAGAATAATTTCGATACTGTGGACAGCATAATTATGAATTTATTTGAATAAAGTTTTCACAAAGAATGAAAAAATAAACATTTGTAAAAGACCACAGTAAGAAAGCTTCCAAAAAATTAAGTAAAACATTTATTTTTAAAATTATTTTAAGTAATTGTGGGGTTTAAATATGGCCAACAACAGGCTTCTATAAAGATAAACGAACAACGTTTAAACGCTGGAGTGTGCGTTTACTAAATTACTGTATGCGCGATTCTCATGGACAGGTAGCTGTCTAAACGTTATCTGTAACCGACTACATTTAAACCTCTATATCTTATCTTAAAAACTACTACACCAAAAAAAGAAATATGAGAAAGACTGGAGTAAGAAAAAAGAATAACGTCGAGACAGAAAAGTAAAGGTCATCATAAAAAGGAAGAGGGGAAACAATTAACGCAGCGAAACTAAATAATAATAAAATGTATTAAAAATCGTATACATTTTGGATATATACGCGTATTATATGTACACGCGGCCGTATTATATATGTATATAAATATATATATTATATATATATACATATACATATGTATATACATATACATATGTATATAAATAACTATATACGTATATTTTTATATTTTTGGAACCGATAGCGGTAGATTACACCTATGGTTACTATGGCAACATAAAAATTGTACAAAGCGGCCGATGGCAACCGCGTGTAGAATTCGTCGCGCAATCCAGAACGTAAATAATTGAATGAGAGAAAACGTACGGATATATATATATATATATATGTGTAAACTAAAGAGAAAAGGAGACAAAAAAAGAGGCTTTGATATCGCACTTCAGTATCGCGAAGAATAAGCGGAGCAGTTACTCCGTATACTGATCTCGAAACACACTATTAATACACACAGTACTCTCATTTTTATTGACAATTAGTGTGACAAAAAGTGGCTTATACAAATACTTATAAAGATTCCTCTTATTGATTTCTCTACGCCACTCCTCAATGTCGCCTATCGAATACTCTTAAATACCCACGGAAAAATCGCATTTCCGGCATTTACCCTCTGAATTCACATTCTTCATTATTTCCTTCCTTTCGCCTTCGTGAACGCGATATCGCTCACTTTCTTCCTCCTCTTCGATTATTGGCGTGATATGTGGACACTAATTGTAAGACATCTTTACTCCCACTAATTTACAACATTACGTGTGTATATTTCCGTTTTGGCAAAGGTTTCTAAACCGTCTAAGACACCCGACGGTTAACGCATTTAACACATTCACTGCCACGTCATACATGTCAGTCATATATACGATATAATGTTACTTGTTTTCGAGAGCGTTCCATCATTCAAATACAAATGACAACAATTCGTAAGAAGTCGTTCAATGATGTTTTATAGTAAAAAAGCATAAATTATAAAGGAAAATGCGTTTGGCAATCTAGGAATTGGTCATGAATTTGAGTGTTATTCACATATGATTGATGTGGCAGTCAATATATTAAATTATATGAGGCAGTTTTCGTTTTTCAGTTCTTTTGCTCTGCGCTCGCAACATCTCGTAAAGAAATACAGCGGGCAGTGATCCAAGATTGTCATATCATACGCTTTATCTATGTATTTCCATTTTTATCTATAGTTCAAAATAAAAAATTTCGCATTATTGCCTTAGAATAATTTTTACAGGGTTATAGAATCCCTGAGTCACGATAAATTCATTACCAAACATTTCTTCAAATCGTGTGTCATATAAAATTGATTTATTACGTCCGGTCGTAGTTCACTTACGAGATGCTGTAAAATTTTCCGATTCCGCTTTCTCTCTACGATTTCGGTTTCTGGTACTAGAAAATGTTCTGGATTAACGATATTGCTAGTGACTGACATCGTCACGCATATAATACGACTTAAGGACTGTTACTTCCGTTGTATCTCGCGCGTAATCTCGCTTGGGGACTATTTCTAGATCATCAGGATTTACATAAGAATTACATACGCGCGCGTGCATAATTTTCCTCTACTTACTATACTTCGGGGTGAACGTAGATTTCCTCTTGCGCTCCTTCGCGATCGAGCAAGGGTCTGTCGCCCTTTTACATGCTTACGCTATCACGTCGACCGCCCTTCGCGACACGTACTCAAAGTAGTCGACCACATCACGCGAAGTACAGTAAAAATAAAAAACGTCGCGTCTTTTACTCTCCATTATTATCAGTTCTGCACAACAATTGCGAGTTGGTGGGCTGCGCGAACACAAGAGAGAGTGCGACAATACTCTTATTTAAGGTATAAAAAGATTCGAACTAGTACACCAACATGTGTTAAATTACGTGTGATCTTCGCGAGGCAGACCTATATATATATATATATATATATAACATATATATATAATATATATAACAAATATATATTATATATATTATATATACGCACTCACACCTAAATTTTTAGATACTGTGCAACAAAACTGTTCTTTCTGTGCAGAAACGAGTGTTGCGCGATTATTATCTTATAGGATTAAAGTGACATTTTGTATCTAGAAATACAAAATAATTTACAAATATTTATAAACTGAAATTTCAACAAAATAACATATGCCAGATTTCGTCAATCTATCTTGAATTTTTATTAATAGAGATGAAATTTACCGAATTTCAACAGTTCGATCTTAAGTTAGAAGCAACTTTATAAATTCTGATTTTGATTAATAAATTTTAATTAACTAAATAATAAAGTGATATATCTAATGTAATTATTCAACAAACAGGAAATTAAATATTATCTCAAGAAAAATTGGCGAAAGCGACGTATTCCACATTGCATAACGCGCGGATTAATGGACTTTTTGCATCGAGTGCGACAAGTTTTGTCTGATAACTGCTCGTGAAAGGAAATGACAGCATTTGCCACAAGCGTGATCGTCTTTTGCGCCTCGATACCCTATAATGAGTCTGGCGACCATTTTATTTACAGCATCGACTAACATCTAAGAACAGTATTTACAGTTGTTCATTCTGCCTAATTTGTTACTTTAGCGTTTGTCCTGTACACTGTTTTTTTTTTTTTCATTGCATCTATCGCGAGCAGTGGCGGTCTACTTTCGGTCAAAACTACTTTCAAAATTTCGCGACTCTTCGGTCGGAAAGAGTGGCAGTGATAAAGAATTAGTACAAAAGAGGAGGGATAGCTTTTAGCGCGCGATATCGAGAGATCACGGCAGCTTTCTTTCTTATGGGAAAGGGAAGAAAAAAAAAGTAGGCTGCCGCTTTTCGCGTACGCATCGCATCCGTATGTGCATCTCCAACATGGTTCTTTAATGGCTAGATTAGATAAATAGACGAGACGATACACGTTAGACGGACACGGTGACGGGCTTTACGAGCACCGCCTTACAAGAATGTAAGAAAGATTAGAGAGAGACAGATAGATATGGATAAAGATAGAGAAATCAATCGACATCGTTCACCATTTATCGTATGTACGCACATACATTCTTGCGTACTATTCATTGAATCTTTCTTCTAATCACACTCTCACTACACCGCGACACTCGAGTGATCCTCCCTACCGAAAATGTCAAAATGCATCGATTCGTTCCATCAATCGTCCTTTCATAGGACACAGTTTCTTTGACTCAACTGACAAGATGAAGGCGCCGAAGAAATCACCGATGATCCGAATTGGAGAGAGGATTCCTTGAGATTCTCGCGGAAGAAGACACGTACAGGCTAATACGTATATCGGGTAATGAAGAAGCACCACGGTCGCTCATCGTCCATCGCTCTCAAAGTATGCGCCCGATGATACTAACGCCGGATCGTTGAATCGTTCGATCTTCATGTACACCTCCACGTGATACATTTCATACTTCGGTAGCTTGCGTGTAAGAGGGCGCGATGCCATGTGCCGGCGTCAGCGGCCCCGTCGTGGACGCGAGCGATCTCCTGGAGTAGATGGTCGCCGCCGAATGGGGCGTGTGTGGCGCCGTATGAGGCGCCGTGTGCGGCGTCGCGTTGTGCCTGCGCGAGGCCGAGGCGAAAGGCTAGATGGGTCCGTAATTGCTGAGGGCGGAAGGCCTCTCTTGCTGTTGTGACTCGATGCATCCAGCGGTATTCATATCGCCCCCCGCAGACTGGTGACGTCATACGTGCGAAAGTGGCGGTTGCTTGAGTACATGGTGATGTAGATGATGTTGGGACGCACTGGCGACGCTTCCTGGAGGCAACAGAGCGCTGCCTGGACCTGGTGCTGATGGGTATGGCATCGCGATTCCTCGACCCACGACACCTTTGATACCAATACTGCTGCCGATACCGCTGCCGACGCCGGTTACACCGGCAACCATCCCAGCCCCGGCGCCCATGTGACTGCGATCACCGCCGAATAAACGCCTCCATAGTCGTTTCCAAGAATCGACCGTCTTACCACTCCAGATCCAGACTCCTGAAGTAATGCCGACTGCGAGAGCCATGAAATATTTCAGCATTAGGATGGAATATAGCGGTCTTGTCCGTGGATGGCAAGGACACGCCAGAGAACTGAGCCACTCATCTCGTAGAGTTGATTCGTACATGTGACAGCCTAGTACCACGCCGGCAGGTAGTGTATACAGAACGCTAAACACGCCAATTCTTATCATCAATTTTTCCAATTTATCCGCCTTGGCTCCAGGTTGACGTTTGATCACCGATCGAATTCGGAAAAGGCTCACAAAACCAGCTAGAAGAAACGTCGTGCCCAGCAGAAGATAGACGAATAGAGGTGCTAGGATGAAATTGCGCACCCCCTCGGGAGCAACTGTACAGACTCCTGCTACCGGGTCACCGGCGACACCACCCGCGACATACGCCCAAACTGTTTGTACAGTTGGGGCCAGCCATGCCACCAGATGGAAATATTGCGAATACGATGCTATCGCCTCGTTGCCCCACTTCAAACCTGCCGCGAGGAACCACGTAAACGCTAGGATCACCCACCACACTGACGAAGCCATGCCAAAAAAGTAAATCAGGAGGAAAACGGTGACACACGCGCCTGGACCCTGAGCGCCCGATTTCAAAGCCGGACCGTCACAGGCAATTTCTTCGTGGCCGAACACGCTGCGCGACAAGTATCCCACGGATACGACGAAGTAGCAAGCCGACAAGAAGACGATCGGTCGCTCAGGATATTTGAAACGCTGGGTGTCGATTAAGAACGTGGTGACGGTCACGAGAGTGCTGGCGGCGCACAGGCCGCTCCAAAGCGCTAGCCAGACGACCGCGAACTCGCGCTCTTCGTTGGTGAGGAACGCGCCGCGGCACGGTAGAGCACAGTTCTGCACTCCCGCGATCTCTTGGATGATACTTCGGCCGATACCTCCCATCGATGGCGGCGGTGCTGGCGCCGGTATTATCCCACTTACGGCCATGCCGGCTAGACCAGCCCCCGCGTTGGCCCCGGTGTTGCCGATGACGCTGCTGCTGACGGCGCTTATCGCTCCTGACACTCCCGAACCACCCGCCCCCAGGGGCACGAGGGGCGCTCTGCATCTGCACGCGCAATCCCTCGTCCTCTCCCCCGGGGGGTGCTGGCAGTTTTTTTGATTCTTGCCCGGCCTACAGCGGGCCGGTTGCGAAGTCTTGCTGGGTCGTGTAGGCCGCGCTGGCGGGCCTGGTGGTCCTGGAACACCGCTACTCGCTGCGCCACCATTACTACCAGGACCTGTGCTAGTGCTGGTGTGATTATCCTGTTCCATGCACAGGTTCTCCGGGTCACCATGATACGGCAGACGCTCGCATGCCATTCTCTCCGGCCACGAGAAGCCGTATTGTTGCATCAAAGGCGCGCAACCTGTTCGCGCTCTCTCGCATACGCTGCGGCATGCTGGCAGTGGTTTCGTATACTCCGGTAGGCAGATCGGTGCATACATGGAGCACAAGAAGAACTTGAGATCCGCTGAACATTTGATTTCAACCAACGGCCAAAACTGGTGCACTTCCAAGCCGGCCTCATCTTGCGTGTCGTGATTTAATTCATTCGGCATGGCGGTGAGATTGTAACCGATACCGCGGCACATAGGAATGGTGATCTCTTCGCATCGACCCTTCTCGTTGCCGCCTCCGATGCCGGAATGCCCACCACCGCCTCCATTTATAACGGAATGGCTACCACCGACACTACCGCTGACACCTCCAATGCCGTTACCGCCATTTCCGACACCACCAACCCCGTTGCCGTTAGAACTGGAACTGTCGGACACCACGCCGATCACCGACGACGACGAAGATGAGGAACTGCCAGACGAGGAAACTCCTGATCCTGAGCCGACGATACTACCTATCGGATTTATCGCCGATTCCGGTAACACATTCGAAAACGTCGTTGCGAATACCAGCAATGTTAATAGACTTGTCATTGTTCGTGTAGGAAATAACTTCATCCGTCGCGCAGGTCTCATGGATGTTCGGCTCATGGCTGCATAGCTAGCATAATGATGGTCTGCAACAGGAAGCAAAGAGTTTTATTATTTTATTATTAATATTTTTGCGATAAAATTGGTTGTAAGGTTTCAATCTATAATGATAAATTAACAAATACTAAAAGAGCGCTAAATATGCAAGTGAAGTGTTATGTTTCTTTTAATAGTTCTTATATTACATTATTTGTATAAATAAACAAAATTTTTATATTTAATATCTCTGATGAAATACGTATTTAATGTAATTATGAAACTTTAGAAACATTTAATTAAATAAATACATTAAATATGTATTTTACACATATTAAATATAACAAATGTGTTTAGTTATGTAAATTAATGTAATGCACACAGATACAGAGATAAATTTATAGTTATACAGTTTTTTTATTGAAAATTTGTTATCTTCTACATTTAATTCATTAGAGTTATTTCAGTCATTTAATGATTGCCTACAGTTTCCGAATATCAAGAGAGCTAACATCAATTCTCGCTAATAACTTATTCTGCGAATAACTCGTCGGACGAGGGAGTAGTATTTACCAAAGATAGAGTATTCATCACGTTTCAGAGAGACTGGACGCGCTTCGAGTAGGTTCGAATTTAATCCCGAAAGGAGTAATGCGACTCGCTGCCGAGCGATCGGTTGGCAGAACGTATGCACGAGTCTTGCATCGTTTGCAATTCGGACTATCAAAGCAGCACGGTGCTGGTTTCAGTAACTCTGGGGCGAGCCGCACCGCGTATATTCGCTCTTTCGTAAAAGTCCGAGTCCGGCGATCGATGCCTAAATAGCCAGCCGGCGCGGGATGCGTCTGGCCGCTCGCTCGCTCGCTCGTCCGTTCATTCGGTCGACCTTAACGAGCAAGGGCGTAGCGTTCGAATGTCTCGTACATAAATCAACGTCGGTGCTTCGATCGCTATAGATACCCGGTTTCGAAACCGGTACGCCTCTCACAGAGCTGTGGGGTGTTGGCTCGAGAGTCCGGATAAATTCACGAATAACAAATAACGAATGAAGAATGGAATCTTATTCGTGAATAGGGATAACTCTATTCGAATAAAACCTTTCTATGTCTTTCGAATAAAAAAAAAATATCGCACTCAAATAACATTTTATTTAAGTAAAGAACTTTTTTAATTTACGAACGAATTGTCATTTTATAAATTTTTGTTGGTATTTTATTAAATTGTAATTAAATTTTTATTATTTCTGCGAGATAGACATAAAATTAATACTTTTATATATATATATATATATCTCATTTGTTTTCAAATATTTCGTTTGCATCAGAGTTACCATAACTTCTTCATCTTAAAATTCTATAACTATTCTGTGATTTTCAGACAAGATTTTAGAATTTCATTTTCCCTAATGCTTTCAATAATATTTTGAAATTGTTTGTATCTCTATCCTGATGTGAAAACCAGCAAATATTTTGTTGAGAGAGCAATTTAATATAACAATGTCAATTACACTATTAATGCATTAACTGTTGATAGTATTCCAAAAATTGGGTAAATGTGACGAGGTACGTATATTAAATTTCTTTAAAGCCAAAAATTTTGCAAAATTTCCTCATTATTTTCCCTGCTTTTTTGATCATTTTCAATTTTTCTGACGTTCCCTTTATTTCCAATTTTGTGAGCAACTCTGACAACGTAAGTAAATAAAGCTTTATCCAAATAACGAGATAAATAAAGATTTATTCGAAGAATGTAATTGTTTCATGGTAGAGAATCGAATGCTGTCGGAGGAGAAGGAAGCACACACAAAAGGCTTAAAGGGTACAGCAGCGAGAAAGGACGAAGAAAGATGATTGGGGAGAGAAAGAGGGGGCAGGGAAAGGGATCGAAGCAGTCATGGATCTTATAATAGTCGACCCGCGGAAAACACGTGACCGGAGCGAAATGTTATCGTAGGAGGCGGTGTTAGTTTTACCGTTTGTTAACTGCTATAGCGCCTCGACGCGGGCGTCGCTATTTATAAGACGCCGTCTCGCGGCCGACGTACATGTACCCGCGCCGTTTGGAATTAAAGGGAGAAGTCCCGCGCGCTACGTGTGTGGCTCGAATCCCCGATACGGTCGATTGGCGTGCGCGCGGTATAACGAAATGCACCGGCGAGATGCATCCGCCACGTCGCAGCTGCGCGGAAGCGAGGCGCCTCTCTCAATAGAGACGTATGCGCTTTTGATTTTCGCTTCGTTACGGAGTTCGCTTCGGAGCATCGTGTTGAACCCGTCAACGACGGGCATTATCGCGATCTCCCTTCGACACGACCCCGCTCTGTCTGTCAATATTACAGAGAATACGTTTATTATGAATCGAAGCGCGCGCAGCACGATTGCGCCGTAATGAATACGCGCGTCGATCATGTGTAATCATCAACGGGCCTCTATGCTTTTCATCCGTCGCATTTACAGGCTTCACGCGTATCTCGCTCAATCGTTATCTCATCGTTTCATCTTAAAAGTAACTACCTGAACACTTTGGGGACAATACTAGAAAAATTTCACCTTTCGTTCATTTTTTTTTTTTTTAGAGAATAATTGCGTAACCAATATATGAGTACACACACACCACGGTATAACGTATCGAAATTGAACTCTGCGGTATTGGCGAGAGCGATACGGAGAACTATTATACATAAAACTTATTCAACGAAATGAATATCCATTAATGTATTGCATAAAGTAGCTAGAGGTAATACGAGGGAGATAGGAGAAGGAGATCTCGGCAATGAATCACTTTTAAAGCCTCGCCCTTGCTGCCTGGGATATGCGGGATGCTGGCCAACGTTGTTTGGGTCACGATACACTCCTCTTTTATGGAAATTTTGTGCTCTTTTTGCTCTCCCACGTCTATCCTCGCTCATAACTAGTTTCTGCGAATAACACGCGCTTGCATAAGCGCAATCCATTTGCCGTCAGCGTCGCAACAGCTAATTACAAGTTTATACATATTAATATCCTACAAATCCTTTCTAAGCCGTTTATTTACATTCGCTGTCGCTCAATCGATCGTACCGAAGATGAGATCGATTCGCCTTGGTTGCGAGAAGAAAACGCGTCGTTTATACGCGTGAAAGGCGCGCTTCTCGCGTTAAAACAGCGATTTGTCCGCTGTCAATCCATCTCTTTGAGACTTTCGATTTTCGCCACAACGAGGGAAGGTCGGGGTTACATTCGAGGCTCGTAAAAAGGGAGGCGTAGCAGCTCGCGCCGAGATACCGTGCGTTTCTTCGTAAACGCTCCTAAAGTTACGTAAATCAAAACGGGCGACGAGATTTATGGCCAAGTATGGATAAGGTATGTGTTACGCTTCCTCGTTAGATGGGAAAACTGACGGCGGTCAGATGGTGTTGGGTTTTATATCAAATCGCGCGTCTCACGAGCATTAATCATGAATTCACTGTGCTCACATTCCCTGCTTACCTCCGTTGTTTCGCGAAGTTAAGAAAAACAAGGAACGACCCGTCGAGATTCATTTGCTGTCTTTTCAATGATCTTGCATCATCGTTCGAAAGTTTTCACTGTCGTTCGTAGAAATAACTCGAAAGATTTAGCTGTATGCTAATTATGCGATAAACACTGTCATAATTAACATCGCGCATAAATTTCACGTGTCACACATGGAATCTTCTCTCAATTATGCTAATTTTTTGATTTAACGAGTTATAAAAAATTCTACAGTAACAGAATTAATGTTTTACGCAGAATTTCGATTTATTGTAGAATGTCAAAGATCCGTGGCGACGATTTCCATTGCAAAAGACATATATATAAAGCTATAATTAATTTTAATCCGATTTTAATGCGCTAAAAGCTATTTAAATTTTTAATTTATTTCAAGAACCTATTTTAAATTATAAATATGTACGTAAAAAGTTAAAATAATACGTCATTAAACACATAAATTATTATAAATTTTTTAAATTTTTTGCCCGTTTCTATTACCAACGTATATAGTTTAATTTTAATCCTGGTTCACAATTAACTTTTCATCTTTTTTTGGTTCTAAAAATTAGAAAAAGATAAAGAGTAAATTAAACATTTATGCATTCGCCGGATATCGCATCACTGAAGAAACTTCCGTTCGAGATATGGAGTAACAATTTCGGCGTGAATAGAGCGTTTGACGCACAGAGCGTATATATCTCTTCGGAAGTTAACTCGCGCATAGTTTACGCGCGCAGCAAGTTCCTTCTGGTATCTATCTTTCCCGACGAATCTGGACATCTAAACTTGGCCTTCGAATGCAAGCTCTCCTTCTGGATGAAGTTTATTAACGGTGCAGAGCGTGTGCGAGAGACAGAAAGGGAGAACCCAAGTCGCGCGAAAGCACCGATAACCGGAACTATTTGTTAGAGCCCCCGAGTGTGATACGCATATTCGCGCCCGACAACATGTACTTCGGGCCTTTATACGAATATAAAGCACGCTTTCATGCTTTTCGAACGCCACGTTCTGCCGCGTGCCGTCATATACAGGGTGTTTCGATCTCGTCGCGTCGTATAATATTTCGCAGTGAGCAAAATCATCCAAAATTCAACTTGTATGAAAATAATCAAGATGCTTACTGGACAGTTACAAAATCTTAGAATTACTTTGATGATCAAATAACATTTTCAGATTTATACCTAAATTCTTATATATTTCAGTAAAAGTATTCTTTTTGTATATAATTAAAAATATCATTAGATACGACAATTAATAATAAATAAAAACTGAAATTTTTCTAGGTATAAATTGCGAGCTATGATATTACTTTATATTTATCTAATATATTTAGAGGTATACATAAATATATATATTTTTATTTATTTATATATTTATGTAATATTACTTTATATTTCTCGCGATGTACGTGCTGCGCAGCTTGTACATTTTTTCTGACAGTGATTGTAAGACAGCAACTTTGCCTGTTACTATTAAAAAGTGAGGAAGATATTCCCAATATCGCGTACGAGCCTTTGCTGCTAAAATACGGTC